GGCCCTAGGGGTGGGGTGCACGCCTTTCCCTCTGTGAGGTGATGCTGGTGGTTCTCCGGTCAGCGATCAGCTGTCCGCCCGCAGGTTTCGGCTCTCTCGCTGGTGGCCACGGCAACAGCCACCCACTCGCGCAGCCCGGGCGTGGGGTACGTCCCTGCCTGTGGGCTTTGCTCAGTGGAGGCCCCCTCATTGTGCTTTCCTGGACAGCCTGGTGCTCCAGGGCTTGGGGCCCTGCTCCTTCCCCCTCTGCTCTGTGTCCTGTCTCCAGCCTCACCTGTCACCTCCCCTGGTGGCCCCACCTGGCCGCCTCCCAGTCCACGCTACGTGTGGTTCTGCAGCCTGTGGTTTGAATCTGCTTCCTGGAGGATATGATTCAAGATTAGTGTCAGCAAAGGGCCAGCTGGGACGTGGACAGCTTGGATGCAGCCATCTACCATGGACGCTGACCCAGGACCCCAGTTTATCAGAAAAATGCTGACCGGCACCAGGGGTTCCCAGGAGGGAGGGACCCACCAGCCACAGCATCCGAGTGTTCAGATGAGCTCACGGTGGTTGAGGAGGGAGGAGGCTCTTCTGGGCCCTCCAGTGATTTAGATCCAGAGAGGGCAGTGCTGAGAGTGGTCTGTGACACTCCCCCAAACTGCACAGGGATGGGGGGAGTATGGTGGGAGGGAGAGGCTGGGGCGGTGGACCAGGCTGCCTGCCCAACATCTGAGGCCAGTGTGGCTGGAAAGAAAGGCCTTTGCCAATAACAGCTTGGATAGTGCTTCCTGCACCACATGACAGAACCTTCCAGAGCTCCAAGTGGGGCCGGGGTGGGGGGATTCTGGAGGCCTTCTTGGGGTCAGGGGCAGGACGGCAGCGTCTAACTCCCCAGCATCTTACCCTGTGCTTCCAGGGGAAGCCTGGCTCAGCCCTGGTCTTTGGACACTGGTCATTCTTCTCTGTTTTCAGCAACATCAAGCCGCCTTCTCCAAGGTCTTCAGCTGCCCCTTACATCAAGTCCTCCCACACCCTCCCTGAAGGATGATCACCCTCCTACAAGGCTGGGAAGGGGTAGAGATTTTGTCTTTGTTTTTAAAACAAAACCCTCCAAATCAAGCCCAGATCCACTGCTTTCGGGTGGATTCCACTGCCTGGGGCGGAGAGGAGCGAGCCCACCGTGGGTCCAGGGCTGGAGGCCGCTTCCTCAGCTTCCTTCCTAGAAGTGGCTGCTGGCTGGAGGTGGCCGTGTGCCGTCAGGTCAGAGCTGACCCCTCGCTGACCCTCAGCAGGTTTTCAGATGCAGTAAATGCACAGGAGGAGGCCACCCAGCTTCTCCTGTGGAGCCGCTGTTGGCTTCGAACTGCACACCTCTTGCACTGAAAGCGCAGTTCCTGACCACCAGAACTCCCTAACCTTCGGGTCAGCAGCCCGACACATGGTCCATGGTGCCCCAGCCCCCAGTTTTCAGGTGAGGAAGGATGCTGGGAGAGGTAGGCCAAGTTTTCAGGTGAGGAAGGAGGCGGGGAGAGAGTTAGGCCAAAGCCAGGTGGCTTGGTCAGGAGGATGCAGCTTTCTGAGGGTCCTAGAACCCCAAGATCCCAGTAAGGCCTGGGGTGCCAGGCAGGCTCTGGAATTCCACCCACGGGATCAGGGTTGAGGTGTGGCTGCATTGGGGGGACAGGATGGCTTCCTGATGTGACCATGCAGCTGACCAGCAGGGTGGCGGTTTGTGTCCCCTCAGGACTCTATGGGGTGACCCACTATCTGGCTTCTGTGAAGATTTTTGGCCTTGTAGACCCTGTAGGACGCTTCTCCTCTGTCCTCAGAAGTGACCTAGTGCCCCAGACTGGCCCTCAGTCACCCCGCATCTCAGTTCTCCAGGGCAGCTGTCGCAGAACCACCCCACGGAGGTGGCTTTAACCAACAGAAAGCTCCTGTCTCACCATTTAGGAGACCAGAGGCCCAGACTCAGGGCTCCAGCTCTGGGCTAAGACCTCCTTCCCGTTCCAGCTCTGGGGAAGGTCTCTGCCTCCCCTCAGCATCCGTGGGCCCCGTCCCTCAGAATCTCCACGCCCCTCAACACTGACCCTTCTTGAATCTAGAATGCTCTCCAGGACTCCCTCATCCTCTGGAGGCCCCTCAGTCTCTAGGGGTCCCTCCTCCTCTGAGATGTTCTCTGGGGTCCCTTTGCCCAAGAGGTTCTGCTCAAATCCTTAGCCCAGGCAAGTGTCCAGGCAGGGAGAGAGTTGGGGGGCCATACCCCACATGGAGGCCCCCTCCTTGATACAATACCTCTACCAGTTTTTCTTCGACACCTCCAGCTGCACCCCACTCGCTCCCCTGCAACTCAGGACCCCCGGCCTCCAACTGCACCCCCACTCGCTCCCCGCCAGCCCAGGACCCCCGGCCACACCCTGGGGAAACGTCATCCTCTCTGTCACTGAAAGGGGAGGGGAATGAGAGGTTGGGGCTGACGAGGGGGGGTGGCATCCAGGTGCAGGGTCTCCCCGCCCGCTCACCATCCTGGATAGTGTTGAGGCCCCTTGTCGGAAGTTCAAAACTTGGTCAGTGACTAAAGTTGGGGCAGTCTGCTGCCTAAAATGCCAGCCTCAGAAGCCGATGGGCCTCCCTGCTCCACGTGGCAGGCTCGCTGAGTTCCGGGTTAGAGCTTCACAGTCCTTGCCTCCAAGGAGTAGCCCATCTCACCTTCTCCAGGACACCTGTTTGCTCTCCTTGTGGCCCATGGTATGTTCAGTGCTCTTCTCCAGTACCACAACTCAAAGGCATCCATTCTTCTTCTGTCAGTCTTAGTCATTATCTAGCTCCATGGTCTGGGGCAGGCACACCTTAGTCCCTAGACTGACATCATTGCTCTTCAGTACTCTATAGAGGTCCCTGACAACAGATTATCCTAATGCAATTCATCTTTTGATTTACTGACTGCTGGTTCCAAGTGTGTTAATTGTGGAGCTGAGCAAGCTGTAATTGTTAACAATCTCAGTCTCTTCTCCATCCATCATGGTACTGCCAACTGGCCCAGTGGTGAGAATCTTTGTCTTCTTGATGTTGAGCTTCAGTCTGTACTGATGACAGTGCCCAGTGCCAGGATGCAAACCCAGGCACGGCCCTGTCCCTGAGGTGGGGAGGTCTCCTGGCGGCATGGACGTCATGAGCTGTGCTGGGCAGGGACAGGCAGGGACTGGGGGATGTGGAGGGGCGTTTCCCTCCTGGAAGAGGAGGTCACTCAGCGGAGATCTGAACTCTGGACCCAGATTACCTGAGGAAGTAAGGGTGGTGAAAGCAAAAAGGCCCAGTCAGGGACAGCTGTGTGGGGCTGGGCTCAGGTGGGTGAGTGGAGGGTCTCCCAGGAGGGCAGCTTGCTGGGCAGCCCACTGCAGCGACAGAGCGGGGGCCAGTGCCCCAGAGGCCAGTCAGAGATGAGCCCTGTGGGGCAGGGCCGCCCTGGACCTCCCCGGGTGGCTGTGGGGCTGGGACTGTGCTTTGTGTGGGCAAAACCAGGGTCAACCCCCCACGCAGGGGCCACTGGAGATGAGCCCTGCAGGTGGGGCTGCCGGGGAGGAGGTGGTGGGCGGGCTTGGCGCCTCTATTTCTTGAAAGGACTTTGAGGTGCTTCCAGCTGTCACAGTCTGGTTCTCGACACCCTGCTGGGAGCGGGAAGATGATAAAATATAAATCAATAGGTTAAAAATATGCTCGTCTCCTGCCAAGCCGTCAGCCCGCCCCGCCTGCAGAGTAGGGTTCAGGCCGCCATGGACGGAGGGAGGGGGCAGCCTTTGTTCTGAGCTGAGAGGACCACTCGCCCTGACAGCTGGCAAGCAGAGCACCACGGCTTCGAGCATCCTGCCCCAGCCACGTCCCTCCTGGGATGTCTCTGCTCTGAGTGTGGCAGCTGCTGTCAGAGACTGAGGGTGTGTGTGTGGGGGGAGCGCACATCTAGGTGGGGGACCCCATCACCTGGCCAGCAGTCTTACTTGGCTGTGGAGGGGTGGGGATGCCTGGTTCCTTCTGGGCATCCCCGTGGCAGCAGGAATGCTCGGAGCAGCTAACAGGCTGGCAGGGAGTGAAATGGGATTTGATGTCCACACAGCGCCTCAGCCGGGAGCTGCCCAGAGTGCGCCCTCCGCAGGCCTGCAGCCTCCGTCCAAGCGAGGCCTTTGTTCCCACAGCCACTCGGACCAGAGGAGGAACTCTGAGGATGGAGGGGCCTGTCTGTGATGGTTACAGGCAACCCCTGGGTGCCAGGGTCCCTCCTGCTGTCAGAGGGTGACACTTCAGGAATGTGGTCCGCTCGGGCCTGCCCGTGTCTGGCTGGGGGACAGCAGAGCTTCGCTCAGGTGGGATGCGGGGTGTCATCCTTGCCGAAGGAGTGGCAGCTCCTAGCCAGATCCCTCAGGGCATGAGACTCCTGATGTTAAGGGGAAGGACAGATGGGTTCTCTGTGGGAGACAAGCTCAGGTCCTCAATCCTGTGAGCGCGGTGGCTGGAATCCCTCAGGATGAGAGAGAGGCCCGGCATCCGTGTGTGTGTGTGTGTGTGTGTGTGTGTGTGTGAGAGAGAGAGAGAGAGAGAGACAGAGAGAGAGACAGAGAGAGAGTCCTGGTACCCAGCAGACCCTCCCCTGGCCCCCATGCGTTCTCCGCCGGCCATGGTCAGTCCTGAGGCTGCACGTGAGCAGGGTCTTGCCCAGGACCACATCGTCCAGCACCGTGCCGGCCAGTGTTCTGGGGAGGCAGACAGGACTCTGCCTGGTGGGCAGTCATTGAGTGCCAGGCTTGTCTTCTTAGTCTGCACTGGACCCTGCCCCCCACGGTGACCCAGTCTTCCATGGTGACCCTGTCCCCAATGGGGACCCTATGGGGTCTGCCACACAGTGACAGAGGTCCCAATGGCACATGGACAGCTTGGGATGGTGCTAAATTCTGGTGGGGGGGGTCTCACACGGTCTCTCTTTTTGGAACCTTGCTGCCCTCTGACCCTGCCTCTCTCCCCCACAGGTCATCCTGATCCTGACCAAGTACTACCATGCGGATATGGGGAAGGTCCTGGAAAGCTCTCTGTGGAGGTGAGTCAGTGCGGGGGTGGGGGGGGTTGGGGGGGTTGCTTGGCTCACCTTGTCCTCTGGTGGGGCTGGGGAGCGGGCAGCGTGGACAGCCAGGTTTGGGCTGCAGGTCACGTGAATGGCCAAGGCTGGGGCACAGGCAGGCATGAATACTAGGGCTGTGGCGTGGGTGGCATGGACTGCCAGGGCTGGGGCGCAGTTGGCGTGGACGGCCCCATCGGTGGCCTCCGGAGGGCTGGATGAGACTGAGCGGATGGGGAGCACTCGTGCAGGGCCCAGCCCACCCGGGGCCGCCTGCCGCTCAGAATCTCTGCTCTCTCCTGGCCCTTTCTTCTTTCTTCTCCTTTTTCTTTCTCTTCTCCGGAGGAGGAGTCTGTGTGAATGTAGGTCAGTGCACAATCCTTGCTTGTGTTCCCAACTTCAGACGCACCCCGGGCGCCCACAAACGCGCGTCCCCTCCGAGCCAGCCTTTCTTCCCGGCTTAGCCAGGGCAGGGCCGGCTCTGTGTGGGATGTGAGGCCGGCCAGAGCGGGCGCGCCTTTGATGGCTTGAAAGACATGAGAGACAAAGGGGAGAGAAAGGGGCTCTTCGAAGCCATTTCGCTTATTATCACCTTCAATATTTACAGCTGGTCGCTGGGGAGGGCGGGCCAGGCAGGCTGCTCGGCCGCAGCTTCTGAGGGTCCAGCGCCCCCGCGTTCTGCAACTCTCATTTCTGAGATGTGGTTTTCAAGTCACAATACTTTCATGTGCAGGGTTCAGATCAATAAAAACAACGATAATGTGGCTCCGGGTCGTAGGCCGCGTGTCACGGGGGCGCGCATGCTTTGGCAGGGGGATTCCCTCACGGGTTGCCACACTGTGACCTGCTGGTTCTCCCCTGGCCTTCACTGGCGCTCCGTGATGGCGGATGGGTGAGGGTCCGGGTCGCCAGCTGGCTTGTCACCACTGATGCTCTGAGGCCCAGCTGGCCTGGCAAGTTCCCCACACGTCTCTTCCCCTCCTCCTCACTACCTCCTCAGAGTCTCAGGATCTGGGGATGGAGCAGAGGCCCCCTACGGTGGACACTGTGGAGCAAGGGGCCTTGCCGGGGTGTCCTTAGGACAGGGCACATTGAGCTGAGGGATCCCCGGGCTGGTCCCTGGCTTGCCTGTCTCACGGTTATCCATGTGCACAGATGTAGTCCCTCCTTGGCTGAAAACACAGGCAGAAACAGCCACTTCACAAAGGTCCCCTCCCTCTGCCCACGGCGGCAGTTGCCTTTCTGGTGGGTCTTATGCTGGTGGTCTTTGTTGTTGTTGTGTGCCACGGAGTCAAAACCTACTCAGGGCTGACCCTCCATGGATTCTCAGAGACAGGAAATCCCAGAGAGGAGACTGCCCATCTGTCCAGGGAGCAGCTATCGAAGGTGAACGGGTCATCTGTGTTGGGAGCACACTCCTAACCCTCCAGGCCTCGAGCTCCCTCGTGTGTTTCTAGTTGGTGGACGACAGGCGACAGGCGGGCTCTCCCTGTTCTCTGCCCTGTTTCCAGTTACTCTGTCTTGGGACCACATTCTTGTCTGTCTCTAGGTTTCCATTGTGTGATACATTGTTTCTCTTCTGCACTGTTTCCACTTTCCTTCTGTTTTAGCGGTCTTTTCTCTTGAACACTAAGCTTTCAGTTCCCCCAAGCTGCAGCTCAGCTCCACACAGTGTTTCCTGGCAGTAAGCTAGTGTTCTCCGCGAGAGGCTGACTCACCCTAACGGTGAACCAGCCCCATGAGCAACGCTGGCATCCTTACCTCTTTGTTTTCACCCTGGGCTGTATCTTCCAACCTCCATTCTGCAGCCAGAGCCAGAGAGCGGGCTTAAGGGCCACGTGGCCAGATGTCTTTTCCAAGGGATGTGGGTCTCTTGTGGGGGCCTCGATTGGGGGGGGGTCCCCTCGTTTGGCCTAGTCAGGTTTACAATTGTTTCTAAAAGTGTGCCCACATGGCCTTTGATTGCTAGTAAGAACACAGAGTTTCTAGGCCTAATTTCTAAGACCAGAAGACACCCTGCTTTGGGAAAGTCTGCAGTCAGGGGGGACCTCTCCAGATTACTGACATCCAGATGATGTCAGTTTGAGGGCTGAGGTGCGTCTGTTTCAGACCACAGTCTTTCTGCTCACTTTCTGTGCATCTGAGATCTGGACAGTGAATAAGGATGACAGGAGAAGAATTGATGCCTTTGAGCTGGGGGGTGGTGGAGAAGAGCACTGAACGTGTTGTGAACTGCTGAAAGAACAAACAGGTGTGTTTTGGGAAAATTGCAGTCAGAGTGCTGCTTGGAAGCTTGGATGGCGAAGCTTCATCTCTAGCGTGTCGCTAGGAGAGACTATTCCTTGGAGAGGGACATCATGCTTGGAAAGGTGGGGGGCCAGAGAAGGAGAGGAAGACCCTCTATGGATTGGATTAGTGGAGTGACTGCGGAGACGGGCTCAAGAATGTCAGAGATTGTGAGGTGGACACAGGGCGGGACAAGGCTCCGACCTGCTGTTCACAGGGTCGCAGGGAGTCATACTCGATTCGAAGGCGCCCCACACTTCCTGAGCCAGCTCTTCTGGATTTGCTACCCTGGCCTCTGCCCTGCGGGGCGTGAGCTGCCCCGACCAGTGGAAGGACAGCTGCTCTTCTGTCCTTGGATGCCTCTCTCCCCATCCACCTGGAGGGTATCATGTGGCGGAGCCCTGGGCACCTGAGTGTGTGGCCACAGGCACGCTTGTCAGAGTATGATCGCAGACACGCGTGTGAGAGTGTGTGATCACAGGCACGCTTGTGAGAGTATGATCGCAGACACGCGTGTGAGAGTGTGATCACAGGCACAGTTGTGAGAGTGTGTGATTGTTTTGAGTGTGTGATAGCAGACACACTTGTGAAGGTGTCATCAGAGGCAC